GTAAAGATTTTTTTAAGTGAAAAAGTTACCAAAAAGCCTAATAAACAGGCTTCAGTGTGTCTTCTAACCAATGGAGTTTGTTGAATATTAAAATTGAGACGAAGCAGGTTTGGTTTTTAGAGTTAGATGTGCAGGTTGAAACATGGTGGTACTTGAAGAGCGTTGTGTTTTCTGATGTGTTGCTCATTAAGTAATGTTTAGGAACAACTGCAATATYGATTGTACCTTTGAWAGACGTTCCCACCAGCATTTACAACAAAGACACTTCCATCTGTCCCAACTTCAGCCATTTTTGCTGCTCCTGGGATGAGTATCCAACCACTCATGTCACAGGTGGTTGGTGTAACTTTCTATAAAACAATGAAAACATTTTGAGAAATTGCAGTCAGTAAAGGGAGCCACAGTGCTGTGTAGTGTAAAACATAGTTTACTGTAAAGTAGATCTGATCCTTGGTGTTTGTTCCCCAGCATCCATTGGGTCCACAGCTTAAATATTTCAGCAAGCCTGATATGTTACTCCAGCTCACAGCACCAAGCTKCTGATAGGATGATGCAATGTCACTCCTCAGGCAGTGAATGGTGTCAGTGCGTGAAACTCCCACAATCTGACCRTCACCACCAGCATCCACCTGCTTCAAATTAAGACCTAAGGACACAAAACATTTAAGCAAAAAACAAATGAGTGTATGCACTGAGTGCAGAGGTTTTAAGATTAGCTAGAAAAWTTGCATTTCCTGCAAAAACRCAAGTGTGAATGCTTCTTGCTGGAAACTTAAACTGAAAGCTGYTGAAATYGAGCTGAAAATATTTAATARCAAAAATGTTWATGCGAGTTCACTTTGCAAAGCTGAAAGAAAGGCCTAACTTTGCAGAGAAACAGTAAAAAAGGAGCAAAAATATAGTTAAAAAGCAGAAAGCAGGTAAAAGCTCAAAGTTAAAATAGCTGAATATTGAGGCGTTTTATKTTTGTCACCTGTTGTTCTGATTGGTTGACAGATTATCACCCACAGCAGCAGCAAGTTCCCAGTAATCAACTCTCTGGCTTTACAAGGCTGGCCTGAGGCTCAGTTCTTCGCTGAAGCATTGGTTGTTCTTGGGTATAGCACACGCAGCTCTTCAGTGTTATTATTTACATGAGTTATACTTACCAGTGTCTTTCCCTGTGTTCAGGAAATCTCCCTCGAGTCTGTGTTCTGGATTATTCTCACCTGCCTGCCAGTAAAACCTGTAAGAGTTACTCACCTGAACTGCTGTTGTGGTGCTGCCTGTCTGCCTCCAACTAAACTCAGAACAATCATCTGCTCACTACCCTGCCTCTGTTTGGATTACTGGACCTGGAACCTGGACCCTCCTCTCAGCGCCGTGCCTCAGATAAATCTTCTGTTCCAAAGATACTCACCAAACCACCGTCTGAAGTACTCACCTGTTCTCTTCCCTTTCAGCACCAATCTGGATCCTGCAAACATCTCCCTTGTAAATAAAATCACTTTTTGTTAATCTGCCTCCTGGTGTTCTGTCTGTTACCAACTGCTCAAACTTTGACAAACTCGTTAATTCTGATAAATACGATAGAAAAAAATGTATAAATAGCACAAATTAGCAGAAAAAAGCAGAAGTATAGAAGCAGATCTAAAGCTGAAATGGCATAAAAAAGCTAAAATTAGTATAAAAATAAGCTAAAGGTATTAGCCACAAGTTGTAATTAACAGAGAGAGAGTGCAAGTTTTGTAAATTTAAAATTAGCAGACAAAATGCATAAAAGTACAAAAGTGACAGTTTGTGGTAAAAAAAAAAAAAGCTAAGCAGCTGAAATTTTAAGTGAAAAAAGCTAAAATGCAGCTGGAAATTTTGTAATCAGCATTAAGGACGACAAGTTTGCTGAACTTGGCAGAAACGAGTTGCAATAGCTACAAGTGTATTTATATTAAAACGGCTTATTTTAGCAAACAGACTAACTTAAGCTAAAATTTCAGCAAATAGCTGAATATAGTAAATAGCAGAAGAATAGCAAAAAGAAGCCGAATTTGAGCTGAAATAGCAGAAAACTAAAAATTAACAAAAGTAGCTAAAATTAGCACCAAGTAGAAGTACCAGAACAAATTAGGTGCTGTAAAGATTTAGAACAATTTCAAGGATGATCAAAATGGCTCAATTAATTTTCAATGCTATAGAAGTGTAATAGCTGAAAAATATAAATAGCTGAAATACCAAAAGTCATAGCAGGATTGTCATAAATGAGCTGAACATTTTGATTCACAGTAAATGGTGGTTGTCAGTTCTAAACTGAATTAACTGAATGTGCCCCCACAGAAAATCTTCAGATCCAGTCTCTGCATGAACCAGTTGACAGATTAAGGCCACTTTTCCACACAGAACATGAAAGAGGACTCTCTCTCTCTCTGGT